TGCCAGGAGCTGTGTCCCTTTATCAAGAAGCAAAGAATTTAACTTCCTTGCTGATAGGGATGTTTAGAAAATAAAACACCATTATTCACAGCTGTACTTCCAGTAAGAGCAAACAGTCCCTTTTCAGATATCAGCAGGTGGAAATCTCAGTAGAAAGATGCATGTTTGTTGTTATGATTCCTGATGACCTTTCTTGTTTTTATTTCACTCTGATAGTGAATGCTTACTGGCATGTTGGTGGTTTTAACCTCCTGAACCGATCTGGTTCTTGTTGCAAAACACTATTAATTTATATTTAACTACCTAGGAATTTCCTCCTTTAGCTGCACTGGCCAGTGTCCCAATTCAGGCAGTGCTTAAGCCACAATTTGTGACTGTTTTACTGCTTCATGGTGAGCTATGAAGGTCAGCGTGGTGGTTATCGGAATGACAAAGCCATGCGTGAGTTTTCTGCATTCTGCTGAACCACACTTCTTTTAACTTGGTGAATTGCCTTAACATATCTTAAATGTGTATTTTGAATATGACAGGGTACAGCAAGTATTTTATCCACCCTCCTCAAGAATCAAGCAAACCCAGGATCCCAAGACACGTCCTTAAGGAGACATATTCTGACATCCATTTCTTGCTTGAGATACCTACACGGTCTAACTGCACACCAGTTTCACTGTGCATGTGTTCTTACAAAATCTCTTTCCTAGCTCGGGCAGAAACTATTTTGTCTTAACACTGTCAAGCCAGCATCTTGAGGATACACAACAGACACATAACACTTTTAAGGAAGCCTTCTTTGCTAAATTTACATGAGACTTTAAAAGTCTACAAATTTGTGACATCCTTTATAGTGCACTTACTGCCATTTTACTATGTACACTATCACATTCCACATTATTGACCTAATTTTCTGATTGCCTTTTCTAGACAGGAGGCATAATTAATTTCTCAAGAAAAAATACCCTTATCAGTCTTAACTGTTTAATGAAATGAGATTGCAAATTGCTCTTCACTACTATACAATTTAAAACCAGTCTCTTTGAAAATCTGCTGTAAAATCAGGTTAACAACCTTAAAAAAGACATGGAAATAATTCCTCATTTCATAATGAGAATACTAAAAAACACCATTAAAAATCCAAGAAGAATTAGTAATGCTGGTGTTCTTAACAAGTGACTCAGATTTTCCAAGACTATAATTTTTTATCTCCATGTTTCTGCTAACTATTGCTAACTTCAGAACAGAGCAAGCCTCTGCCAAACATCTCAGCATTGCTTATTGACCTTTCAAAACTCATAATTTGCATGAATTTTTCTTCTCAGCCATATAATACTTAGAATGGTATGTATGCATTAAAATATGTACAATCTTTCTGATGTAAATCCCACCTAGTCTAAATCTCCTTTGGTACCTTCATCTGGATGTCAGCTTTTTAAAAATTTGAATAGCTCATTCATCATGTACAGTTGGACCTCTGACAGAAGCTGTTCTTTGGGGGTGGTGGGCACTAATTCCAGAGGAGAAGGAAGTCCTGAAGGATTGCTGATTTTGGAGAACAGGAAGGCAGTAACTCTAACCCTCAGTGGGGATGGGCTCATTGTGTATCTGTGGCCTCAGAAGCCTTTTTTGTCTCAAACAATTATGGGCTGAACAAGGTGGCATTTAACTGAAAGATTCTCAATGACAGCTTTATTTGACTGAGGTGCCCCAAATCTGATCCTATATTCACAGTTTCCCTCTATAGTTATTTTGATTTACTACTTTTGTCTCTGAAATATAAAGGCTTTTATATCACTGCTATTTCCCTAAATGGAAAGATGACACTTACTGTTGTTATGTATAAAAAGGGACAGGTTTCCAATCTTTTGCAGCAAGAACTGTGAATATAATAAAAGTATATATTGAACTATCATTGAAGGCTGCACAAGAAATTTATGAGTGGATGAAAAAAGAGGAAGAGATATTGTTTTTATTTGTATTCTATCAACTTTGTTGTTGCTACTGAAATGCCTACCTGCTCATTTACAGCAAGGTTGTTTGAAGCCGGTATTTAGTGAAAAATTAGTGCAACACTTGAGTAGGTTCCTGAATTTGAAGCAGGAGGCTTTGAGGATTACTGTACACTTCATTTGCAAACCAGCAACATCCAGAAGTTCTCCATCTAGAAGTTTTTTGTCGCATTTTCTTTCCACTCTTTGGTAACCAGTGGGTGGACTGCAATTGTTGCAGAGCAAAAGATGTCTTTTTATCTCTGTATCTCTTTCTCTCAAACTATTGCTCTTGAATTTAAACTCATTGAATGTGAGCAGGGAATTCTGGTTCCTTCATTCAAGTTGGAACTTATGGCAAAAAGAGTATTTATCTTCCTGATTCTTGGACTACCCAGAAGTCAAGGATTTTGGAACAAACACAAGCAGCCCAAGACATTAAGGAGTGCTGAAGTCAGTGATCTAAGCCAAGGCACCACCTCAGTTCTGCACTCTTTGTATAGACAGAATGAGAAAGTGTCAGGAAACACTCCATTGTGGCTCCTACATCTACAACTTTTGTTCTCAGATATAAAAAGGAGTTTAATCAAACCCAGCTCTATAATGGTGACTGTCAAATGGTTGAGAGGAAGGGCCACTGCCCTGATGAAAATTACATTAATCCTTCCTCTCCTTTCCCACATCTCCTGCTCAATTTTTGGCCTGTGACGACTGCTGGCCCCTAAGAAAGCAGTGGCTGCTCATTCACAACCCACAGCAGAGGCTGTGATGGGACAATTTTGGTCATTCCTGTTTTCATTAGTAATAGGAAATGAGAGGAGCTGACCATGGGTCAGTATGAAAAACTTAGTTCTGCTGGTGTCACTGCCAGTTTTCACCCCTCCAACACCTTCTGAAATCTCTGTCCTACTTAGCCATAATCCTACAAACCCGTCCCATTCAAGAGAAGTCATTATTGAAGTTATTCCTGTATGAGAAGCACACAAATGTGTAAAGGGCTGAGCACCAGACATATCTGTCCTGCTTCTGCCAATACTTAACAAGCTGCTGTCTTCCTCACAGCACAAAAGTGGGCACTTTGTGGCACTTTGTGCTCTTACAGCTGCACAGGTGCAGGAGCACTCTTCAATGCCTCTTGTCTGAAAAGCAAGATGGAAGCTTATATTTACTTTCCTAACACTATTTCTTGCCTTTTTTCTCCATCTTTGCAGCAACTGGAATGCTCCCCCTCCTTTTGGCAGGCTACTGCTTTACTCAGGATGCACTCCACAAGTTTGCCTTTCCCTTACTACATTTTTACAAGCACACTGAAACAGCTGTCTTGAGGTTTTTCTCTTCTTCCCTTTGTCTTGATCTACCTGATAATGCTGTTTCTGCTTCTACCACCCAGGCTGCAGTCTTGAAGCATCGACTTCATTGCTTCTTTTCAAGCAAAACTGCCCCCCATTTCAGGATCTTTGGGTGAAGAAACCTGGCTAGGGAAGAAAGGCATGGAGCAAGCTGTTTGTAGTTTGAGATCTCCATCTCCCTTTATTCCTGGGCAGGGAAATATAAAATAAACTCTTATTCTCTGAACTTTATAAGGTAATAATGTATTTTGAGATATTTTTATGTTTTACTGTTGTCTTAAAAAAGAACTTATGGGAATTTATGGATCCAAATCAGACTAAAGTATTTTTGTTCATTGTATGATAAAATGCTAAAACCTGACAACCATTTTGAAGAAGAAGGTCATTGTGTGGTGCTCTTAACTGTTTATGCAAGCGACTTTAAATACTGTTGGAAGTAATAGATTTAGCTAGCCTATTTCCTCACTGGTGTATTACAGAAAGGCAACTTGTACCTTACTATTCAAGATATGAAGGTAAGCAAAAACTAGTATATTTGAGAATTTTAATTTTTGAGTAATTCTCTTGTGGTGCCAGGAACAGTACCACTCAAGACTGTCAATGAAAACAAATTTGAGGTCTTCATCATTGTAGCCCATGATAAATGTTACATTTTTGTTTCATAATTTGACATTAATTTTATATTTCAATAGTAAGAATTTGTAATAAAATTTCCCATCCAGGACTGTTTGGTAGTACTGGACATTGATCGATGAAAGAACTTGAGAGTCATCTATAGCTTCAGTTTGTAATGGTTTGAGTGTATGATAGGAAACAACCTTTGAATTTCCACCCTTATGGGTCATATCATTAATGCCTCATCTGGATGTGTTCTCATTGTATTCCTCCAGCAGTGAAATGGTCTAAGGAGCACTATTAGCTCGACCCAGGAGATCGAAGGGCCGTGTGTTTAGGGATGTGCCCAGCTGCACCCCTGACAGTATTTCTGGGGCTAACCCTTCCCTTGCTCCCTACGTGCTGCTGAAGGGCGCAGTTGGGAAGAAGCGCATGGAAAGTGAAGAAGAGGTGAAGCCGTAGCTGAGGACAGATGCGGCCTCTTGGTTGCCCCATGAGTTGCTGCTGCTGTGGCCGCAGCCTGGTGGGCAAGAACTCGCCCTGGCTGGCTGGGGTGGCCCTGTCGCTGCGATGTGACACGGCAGCCCGGCTCTCCTGGCCGGAGACCCCGCACAGACCGCGGGGGCCGCGCCTCCCGGGGCAGCGCGTGTGCCGCCCCGGGGCATCGGCGGGGACACGGGCGGGCAGCACCGCGGCCCCGGGACGGAGCCGGAGCGGAGCCGGAGCGCGTCCCGGGGGCGGCGGGCGGGGAGGGCGGACGGGAGGCCGGGGGGGAGGCGGAGGGAGGGCGGGCGCGGGCGGCGCCGGCGGGAGCGGGGCTCGGCGGCGGTGGCGGCCGGCGGAGCTCCGCGCCGGCTTCTCTCCGGCCCCGCGGGGCGAAGCGAACGTGAGCGGCGGCGGGGCCGGGACGGACACCGAGAGCGGGGTACGGAAGGAGCGTGGCGCGGCGGGGACCCTGGCACTTGTGCCCGGCGAGCCGGGCTCGCCCCGCCCCCGGTGGCGGCAGCGCTTAAGGGAGAAGGAGCGGGGGGCGGGAGCGCCGCTGCTCCGGCGCCGGGGCTGCCGCCGGTGCGCGCCCGCGGAGCGGCTGCGGTGCGCCCGCGGTGCCGCTCCGTCGCGCCGCTCCGTCTGAGCAGGTCGCCGGCCGCGCTCCGCTGAGCGCTCCCGAGCGGCGGAGCTGCCTCGGTGCGGCGTGCCCCGTTCCCGATGCAGCTCAGTGACCGAGGGGCTTCAGCGGCAGTTTGTGACATGGGCTGTTAACGCCTGCTTTTTTTTTCCCTACATTTTTTTTTTTTTTTCCCTGCCCATGAAGGTTTTGCTATTAGGAATGTCCTTGGAGTAGAGATGAGAGATAAAGTGTAAAGTAACTTGCAGAATTGGTCTCTGAATTATGGTGCGTCTAAAAACCAAGTTTGTGCTTCAGCGAGGGCACTCGGAACTTGAAGGCTTCAGTGCTGGTTAGGTTAAAGCTTTGAACCATGAATTTGTGGGAGTAGAATTGTTTAGAGGTGCTAAGACGTTGTTTTGAAAAAAAATGTTTAAAAATGGAGTGTGATTATGATCTCAAAATGCTCCAGTTTCAGTATTTCACTTTAGACTGTGGTTGGGCTGGTTAAATACTATCATTCTTGGAGTTTGTTGCAAGAATGTTTGTTTAGCGCAGCTTAACCACCTGAATTGTTTGTATTGTTTATCTTACTATATGTACATAACTATGGTATATTTTATATTATTTTGTATATATTATGCATAAAGAAACTCTAACTTTCCCGTAGGCTATATTTGTATTGTGTAATGCATGCAGATAATTGTTTTACCCTGTGAGTGATGAGCTTAAAATGTGATGCCATATCATATCACTCCAAAAACTGGAAAATTAGATTTGTACTGCAGACTCATATTATGGAATTTCTCTTTCAAATGTCATTTGAACTATGGTATGCCTTTTACAGCGTTGTGTGTATTTGTTTTTAATATTGCAGATGCCTTTTGATTGCAAGACTGCTGAAATGCTTTGAGGGTTGCATCTCCTTTCCTAACCATGAACAGTTCAAAATCACCAGGACTGGCTGGATTTGGAGTCTTGAAAAACACAACGTGCCACACGGAGAAAAAGATTTCAGTTTTCTTTTCAATAATCTTCATGACGGTGGGAATTTTGTCCAACAGTCTTGCAATAGTAATTCTCATGAAGGCATACCAGAGATTCAGACAGAAATCAAAAGCCTCCTTTTTGCTTCTTGCCAGTGGTTTGGTTGTCACAGATCTCTTCGGTCACCTCATCAATGGAGCCATTGCAGTGTTTGTGTATGCATCAGATAAAGACTGGATTCGATTTAACCAGTCCAACATTCTGTGCAGTGTTTTTGGCATCTGCATGGTTTTCTTTGGTTTGTGCCCACTCTTCCTGGGCAGTGTGATGGCTGTTGAACGGTGCATTGGAGTCACTAAGCCAATATTTCACTCTACAAAAATGACTTCTAGGCATGTGAAAATGATGTTGACTATGGTATGTCTGTTTGCTGTTCTTATAGCTTTGCTGCCTATTCTTAGGTTTAGAGCCTACCAAATTCAAGCATCGAGGACCTGGTGCTTCTATAAAACAGAACATGTTGAGGACTGGGAAGACAGATTTTATCTCTTACTTTTTTCTTGCCTTGGGTTCCTGGCCCTTGCTATTTCATTCCTGTGCAATGCTGTCACAGGAATTACCCTCTTAAGAGTCAAATTTAAAAGTCAACAAAGACAAGGCAGATCTCATCATTTTGAAATGATCATTCAGCTCTTGGCTATAATGTGTGTTTCTTGCATTTGCTGGAGCCCATTCCTGGTAAGATCATAATGTATTTGCCAATGTTTAATGCACATCACTGTATAAAAGTTATACTTTCTTGTCTCTGGGTTTTAAAGACTTAAGTTGTGATAACAGCTCCACCCACTCAGTGATACTAATTTTATAGCATATTGCCCCTAAGGTATGTACCTATGCATCTATAAAAAACTGGTAGTTATTCTCCACTTCTGATCAATAATACACTAAGCTAAATATATAGTGATTGTGAGGACTGATTTCCAGCACTGTGGAGCAGACAGTGGTAGAAAAATCACGGCTAGAATTATTCAGAACAAATATTGAGCTATTCCAAAAATTCAATGAAATCTGGAATTGGGAAGTCTTTTTACTCTGTACAGTGTAAGTAATTTTTTTATTTATGGCAATTTGCTTGCTGTTATTTCAACAGTTTGGTGCTACTTGTGAGCTTTGTTAGGGCAGATAACAGTTAAGAGTCTGAAAATCCTCCCTTCCATTATCAGGGTGTTAGGGGCTTTGCTTTAGGGTCGTATTGAAAAACAGTGGTTGGCAGTGGGTTGAAATCAACATTTGGTTTAGACCTAAGCAAGCTGGGTTTGTAATGTGGACAGGAGAGCAGCAGAGCTGCTGTGGGACTGTCCCTGCTGTGACTCCTGGATGGTCAGTGCTGGCAGTGCCTGCTCTGTCAGTCAGCAGGGTCAGAGGAGGTGGGGTTGTGATATGGGAAAGAATCTGACAGCTCCGGTTGTACCATGGCATTAGAAAGCTGGTGTTAGCTTTGTCTCCTTTTAGTGTAGCAAACTTGTCTGAAGAAATTTAGTTTTTTTGCTAGGGTCAGAGGGTTTAAATCACAAGTAACAGGGAATCTTAATTTCTTCCCTAGAAACAGGGTCCTGTAGTTTTCCAGTGATATAAATGAGCAATTTTGGATTGAGCTAACAAATACTGACATTTAAGTCTGGGATCTGTATTAGATCCAGCTATGTTTCATCTGCTCACTGCCTATGGTAGAGTCTGAAGTTACCTGAGTTTGTTAAAAATCAGATACTGACAGTTGCCTAGCTGCAGCAGTTTGGTATATCTGGCAGGTAGCATTTAATTAATCCAGAATTGCTGCCTTCAGGGTGAAGTCTAGATATGAATGTCTGCAATCACTGAAATGCACAAAAAGTCTTTCAATTTTGTTCCAATCACAGAGAATTTTTCTAGTCTTGCTCTGCAGCATAGTTTAAATTCATGTTGGCTTCTGTCAGTGTTGTGGCTGTAGCGTATGGAGCATAAAGAAAGTTGTCAGAGCAGCAGAGCAAGTTTTGTAGGGAACTTCTTTACAGTTATTTCAGACACCACCTGAAGTTTGGGTCAAGCCACAGAATGGTTTTCAAAAAAAGGATTTAATGTGATGACTTTACTTTCCACGAAAAGGCAGCATTATTATCCTCTGGTGACATTTATTTTAATTTAAAGTAATTGTTCTTAAAAGCAGGAATTAATTTGGTTTCAGAAGAGCTTGGGTGTCAGAAGAGCTATAAACTTTTTTAGTTCAAAAGAGATACTTCATTTATTCAACACATCAAGTAGCACTAAATTGCAACTACTGTGGTTGATTTTGTTATGCCATTCAGTTTTAATTATGATACATATTAAATGTATATAAAATTATAGTTTTAGAAATTGTGGCAATCTAATGAAATCACAGCACTACTTTTGTTAAAATATTTAACTTCAGCTAAGTGGTTGTTGAAGATGAATTACTGGTCTAGCAGGAATTTTTTTTCCAACCCTTTTTGGAGTTGGTGTTTGCATCAGTTTATGATGCAGGCCAGTGAACGACTTCTTGCTTAATTTTGGATGTGGTATTTTTCGGGACTGTGTTGCAGAGGAGAGCTGGTTCACAAGGAATTCTGATTCATTGGGTGGCACATCTGCTGGTGATTTCTGTGCCTGCTGGGCTTGTGATGCTTTGCCTCTGGATCTCTTTTGAAATGAGTCAAACTTACGCCAAAATCAGCCTGGCATTATGGAAAATAGTTCTGCAATGTGGACAATTTAGGTGAGAAAGGAAGAGTTTAAAACACAAAAAAAGTAGGTGTAGTGTGGGATTAGATTCTAGGAACAAAGTTTCAAGGAAGTGAATAGTCAGTGTTTTAGCCAGACAGTTTCAGTGGGAAATGCAATGGGACAGGGTCCTATTTCCTTTCTTAACTGTTAGAATCATGGAGTTTATACCAGTTAATTTGCTGATTTATTTACCCATTCCTTGTTTTGATAGTAACAGCACAGAAACAGAATTACAAGCATGGTGTTAATTTAGCAAGATTTTTTGGCCTGCAGTAGAATAAAGTTTTGTCAGGAACGTACTGCTCAAGTGCTACATTGAAGTGATTCAGGGTTTATCAAGTTATATGCTTTATGATTAATTGCTGATTCAAATCTACTTGTCAGATACATCTGAAAGGTCTCAGGGCTTTTAATTTGTGAAAAGAGTGGTTTGCAGTCTATAATATAATCAGCATACACCAAAATAAGTATTTCTTGACATACATATGAGCAGGTGTTCATAGGTAAAATTATCTGGAAAAGGGTGCAAATACATGCTTCTTCTGTGATCACTTGCTTCTTTCATTTTTTTTTCTCCAAGTTAAATCTAAAAGTCAGAATTGGAAAAGTCTAGTCTTTGAATTGTGGATTCTACTTATGTTCTCTGTCTCAAAGAGAATACAGAACAAAATGTTATATGAGAGTCAATTGCCTCAAAGTAAACCAAAGTTACTAGAAACCAAATAAACTTCTGGAAGAGAAAGTGGAGGAAGGCAATGTGTTTCATACCACATGTGGTTTGCAGATACAAGAGTCTGGATTCATTTGGTGTTGGGGGGGTTTAATTTATTTATTTCCCTTCTGTTTTCAATCTAGTCTGGTATGTCCATTGACATATGTGTAGGGTTACCTTAATCGAGTCTGTCCACTATTGTAATCCAACTGCAGATTTACTTACTATTAGATTTTAAATTAATTTTATTTTTTTCCAAGTGGAGTTAATATTCAGACATTGTTACTCTCCTGTGATAAAATCATTTTCAGATGTCATCAGAGTCACAAGACCCTGGTTTTTCCTCTATGGTGTCTGGTGTGGAACTGAACTTGGCTTCTGCATCTGCTCAGTGATAGTGAAGTTATTTCGATGCCTATTTTTATATGGGTGTAGATATAAAAATAGCTAACACTTATTATTATAAATAATAATATATAGTATTGTAATCAGTCACCACCTCTGTTTTAAGATTCCTGAAGATACGGATGGAGTGTTTTTCAAAAGCAGAGCCCATGGCATGACAATGTGGAGCTCTCGCTGTGGCTCTTGGACAGGGACCTCCTTCTGATTTCTTTTTTTTCCTTTGGATTTCTTTCCCAAAGCTCAGTCTCATTTGTTTTTCAAAAATAAGCGGCTTTTTCAAGTTTTCTGCCACTGTGAGAGAATCTTCCCTTAATGAAGTATGAGAATGAGAGGTGCTCCCTGCTTCTTCCCTTACAGGGGAACACTGATGCCTCTTGAGGAGTTGAGAGCAGGAGAAAATTCACAAAAAAACCCCCAAAAAAGTGAAATTCATGTGTTTTATAATAATATATGTAGTCAATGGTTTGCAGAAGCACAGTTCTGACAGTCCAAATAATTTTGCTTTGTGGTGGGTAATTCCAGGTAAATATGTTCTGAAGATGTAATTTCAACTTCTCTGTACAGTGTCAGCTTTCTGCATCCTTGTGAAAGCCCTAGCCCTTTGCTAAGGGTATGCCAATTTTGCTGGATGAATTTGGTCCCTAGGGGTTGAATTCCCAAAGCAAATAGCTGGGCAGGAGCATTTTGTGACAAGCACCTCTGATGAAATGCATTGTTATATAAAGCTGTTTTTTGGCTGTCACTTGACATCTGGCGTGTCATGAAAGATCTTGGTTTGGAGCTGTGCTTGTATGAGCAAATTCTGACATCGCTATGTCGTATTCTGTAGGGCTCAAGGGATAACATATTATAAAATTTGTTTTTTTGGAGTAGCAAAGAGAACTGCCTAACTATGGACTGGAGAGATTTGTTTCAGAGTGAATTTATTTACAGGAACAAATTATGACACGGAGAAATTTCTAATCATTTTCATGTGTGAAACACAGCCCGAGAAAAATACTTTTACATTCAAATTATTCTTGTTAAGATCTTTTCCCATGCAGTTAACTGATTAATTTCATTCCAGTTTTACCTCCCCTCTACTGCAGAAAGTAGCCATTCCTGTTTTTTATGGAAAGAGCTCTGTTTATTTCATATGAATAAATCAACTGTTTGGTTGTTTTTTTTTAAATGCTTAGATTAATTTTTATCAGTCCCTTCTCAGGTAGCTCTTCTCTTTCCAATTTGTTATGCTAATTGTGTCTCCCTGAACTCACTCTGACTTTTTCTTATCCTCAGACCATCTCATGCAGTGAGGCTTGATGAGTGCTTTTTGTGCGCTTAGGGCTGTGTTCAGCTTGTGATTTACTGAATCACTTAACTCAGAAGTTGCAGGTGCTGGTCTGAGTGGTCCTTTCAGAGAATGTGCTCTGGAGCTGGGAGAAGCTGATGTACTAACAGGGAGGCTTTCACTGGAATGCCCTTACCCCATCCCACCCTAGCTGCTCCACCAGCTGCTTTGGTGCAGAGCCAGGCTCAGGGCTGGTGTGTGCTGAAGGTCAGTTTGTTGCAGGTTTTACCCTAAGTAACTTCTGGGCCACGTCCTTGTGTTCAGTATAAGGTAGTTGGATGTACAAGGCAATCCTCTACATCTCTTTTGAGTGTTTTGGCATATGTAGCCTTGTATACACTTTGTCAGGTGTTCATACCTGTGTTACTCTTGATTGCTCATATTACTCTCCCTCCATTCTTGTTTTCTGTCTGCTTTATTAAGGTGGCAGTTTAATTTCTGTTGTACTGCCTTATATGTGCAATGGGCATCATATATATGAGCTTGTTCCTTTATTAATGCTGTGTGTGTGCC